CATTCCTGGCTTGAGTCTCAGGAAAGTGAACACAGAGGGAGTTGTAACCCTAGCACAAACACCAATACAACAGCAGTTCTTGCATGCCAGGAACTGTTCTCAGTGCTTTACATATACTAACAGAAAACAGTTCTATGACGTAGATACTGTTGATTTCCCTATGTTATAGATGAGGAAGGTGAGGCACAGAGAGATTCAACTACTTGCCCAGTGTCACTCATCAATGGCAGAGCAGCATTGAGACCTCAGTAAATCTAGCTCCAGAGTCTGTGCTCTTAACAAAACATCTGAGGATAGAGAGGGGAGATGAGGCTGTTTAGAATTCAAGGGAAGAGCATGCAGATCCAGTTCTGCTTTTATTGGTGTTGTGAATTCGAGGCAGGAGTCACATGTTTGCAATGGATCAAGGCTTTAGAGCAGGGTAGCTAAGAATGGGTGGGCCTGTGTGACAGTGACCCGGAAAAATATGACGGAATGAGGGAGTATCCTCTTTAAGACAGCTGGAACAGGAAGAGGTTAACAATTCTAGGTTAACAATCACTTACCTGACACCTGCTCCCAAAACTAATTCTATTGATGAAGGATCTTTCTGAGCAGTAAGCCTGAGTTTAATTAACCTTATGCAAATGAGCTTAATTGCTTCTCAGTGGCTGTGGTCCAGAAGCACCTAGGGATTCCTTCCCTCAGATATTTTCAGCACCTAGATGAACTGCAAAGTTGGAAGCCATTCATCCAGACATGTGTTGTGTGCCTGTGGAGCCCTGGGCCCTGTGTTGAAGATTGCAAGAAAGAGCAAGGTGTGACCCCTGCTGTCCACGTACTTTCACTTTTAAGGCAACAGACACTTACAACCAAGGATAACAAAGTGAGGTGAGTGCCCTGCTAGCCTCATGAGCCGAATGCCACTAGAACAGAGTCGCCTCAGTTCCAGGAGTTGAGGGGTCTTCTAAGTGGTACTTTTGCACACAGGTCACCCTGATTTGCAGAGGAAATGGAGATGGGAAGGGACTTACTGCTTTCTCCCATGAGAGTGAAAAATAAAGTCACTTGATGCTGTCTCCAACGGCGGCTCCAACTTTGCTTAGTCTCTCACTCTGGATTTGCCAGGACAGGTGGGAATAGTGATCAGCTGTCCCACTGCCCCTCCCAAGAGGGGTCCCGGCTTCCTCTGGATAAGAGGCGTGTTTACCTGGTCCCTTAACCCAGATCTTGGACTCCAGAGCCAGACCTCCTGTAAGCACGGCTGGGGGCCAGGATAACAGACTGGAGGACATTCTGTCCCAACTTCCAGGCCCCACTTTGTCTCCCTGGGAGCCCAGGCACCCTAGTCTGGGCCTTCGGGTGCTGGCTGTAATGCTTAAAATCTGTCGCAAGGTGGCAACATTGTGGCGAGAAATAGATTTGTTTTTAAATCATGCGGTGTTTTTCAAAGCATATTTTCCCTATTAATGTTTCATTTAACTTAATTAGAATCTGGTAAACTAATTAAAGTAGATTCGAGTCCTGCAATCAGCAATAATTCGTATAATTATTGATAATTACATCCATACCAATCGTTTGGTTATTAACATTTTGGGGGGAACAAACCACTTCGGAAGGGACGCGAAGCCCAGGAGGGTTTTTGCGACTGAGCTTTCTGGGTCGGATCCGCCCACGACTCCAGCCCGCAGAGATTCCGGCCCAGATGGGGGCGCCCCATCCTCAGCCTCCTAGGAGCTTTTTCTGTCTGTGGGAGTTGGGAAGGAAGGGTGGGAAGGAGCATTTGCCAGGTTCCTCTGTCGGGCCGCAGCCACCGAGCTTCCCGCCTGGGCGGTAATGGTTATGCCTATTTTACAGAGAAGGAAGGTACGGCTGCCAAAGCTGCAGGTCGCGGTGGGGAAAGGCGCCGGCAAACTCCCGCACCCGCGCTGTCCCGCCCCGTCGCAGTTCCGTGGGCCCTGGCGCGCCCTGGGGACTCCAGTCTCTT